CCTTTAGGGCACGAGGTGTGTCTCTAGAGGGATTTGAAATCCAACTCTGCAGGTGTGCATGCAGGTGTGTGCGTGCAAGCGCACGTGTGTGTGTGTGTGTTGGCCTCAGCATAAATTCCGGTGGGGTTTCTCCCCTCCGGCTTTGTAATGGACACAAAGACATCCTGCTGGACTTCAGAAGAAGAATTCACCTAAAAGACAGACCGAGGAGGCTAACAAACAGCAAACACAACCCACTCGCCTCGTTAAGTAAGATCTGTGACCACACACAGACTGAATGCACATAAAAGTAGCCAGTCGAACAACGTCTGAACACACACACACACACACACACACACACACACACACACACACACACACACACACACACACACACACACACACACACACACACACACAGATCTAATGAGGAGGCATTACCTCATCTCCTCAGTTTCTCTCCTCCCTCTGTTTTGTCCTTCTTAGTCTTACACACTGTCAAACATTGCATCATGCACTCACACACTTACTTCAAATGCCCATATTAATGCACCCCCCCCCAAACACACACACACACACAAAGATACAAAAAGACCTTCTTATGCAGCTCATTGGAATGACTGTGAACGACTGCATTGTGAGATTCACCCTCCTATGATTACCTCACCTCTTCAGCTTGCATATGCGCTCGCGAGCACACACACACACACACACACACACACACACACACACACACACACACACACACACACACACACACACACACACACACACACACACACACACACACACACAGGCTGAAACCCTGTTGTATAACAGAGCAGTAGAATTAACATTTTACTGAAGCGACCTTTGTTCCTCCATCTGTGGAGTCACACCTTGACTTGATCTCATCGAGGCCTTGCCGCACACATCAGCGCCTGAGTGTGTGTCTTTAGTGTGTATAATAGAAAAAGAGTGTGAGCCAAAGAAAAGGAGGGAGAGGCACTTTTCATCCCCTAATACCTCCGATCAGTATGTCACCACCACGTGTCATTTCTAGTGCTTCTGAAACGATTTTTCAGTCTGACGGCATGGCTGTAAACCATAAAAACAGAAAGTACATGCAAGTAATAGAAGAAGAAAGTGTAAGTGTAAGTTTGAAAAACTAGTTAACATTTTATTTTTGTAATAAATTATGTAATCTGTTCTTTAGACACTTGACAGAGGAAATGTTTCTTCACCTTTTATAAACAAAATCCCAGGAGGCTTGATTCATGATTATTATGGACGCTAATCATTACCATGTGTAATTCCACAGGCTAGGGTCAAAGGTCTGATATGTGGGGTATATAAATCATCAGCATATAGGAAACCTAGGCCCAATCCCCACACTCGCCCCGTTTTGTGCGTTCCCGACCAAGGGTGCGGGTGCGTAGGGCGTCCCGATTCTCAAGTGTGGAAGTTGATCACACCCCTTTTGCACCCTTGATCTGCACTTCACAGAAGTCTGCATCGATGCAGACTTGGGTGAAGGGTATTACCCACAATCCATTGCTGTGTGAAAAAAGGCTCAAGTGCCTTTTCTGAAAATATGTATTTTCAATTGAAAGAAGTTCATTTTAGGACGATTGATGCTCTGAATGCTTTAGACAAAGCAGCAATGAATGAATTTTTTTTTTCAAATAATTGTTTGTTTGAAAATTGTTAATAACGTTTTTTTTAAGTAGCACAGCGACCAGCATCCCGGCATGTGTTGTGGTCGATGACGCAATCCTCCCTGTCCCAATTCTGCAATTATTTGCACACTTGTGTGCCACGCACCCGAAGCTTTACTGCACACTTCCTCCAAGTGCACTTTGCTGAAGACCGCAGGACACAATACGCGTGTTGGGATTTGGCGCTAGAAGCAGGAACAAAGAAGCTGAAGTAAAACCTAAGCTAGCGCCCTCTAGTGGCTGGCTGCCCTGCCCTCTCCCAGTTAAATGAGAAATCATGGGTGCTTCATCCACTTTTATATAGATTGATAATTACAAAGTGAATTATTTATTGTTCATGCAACTGTTGACTTATACTTATTTTGTAATTGATGAATGTAGAGTTAATAAAATAATTTTGTCAGAAAGTGAGAGTAAATTATGTGCAACCTTTTTTTTTAAATGATCCAATAATTACAAAGAAAAATCATGCTTTGACTCTCATTTGATCCAGTTTTCTTCTGCGTCTCTTCTGCTTCCATTCTCTGCTTGACGCTGTGATGTGGCGCTTTAGTAATCCCATGAAAAACACTGGCAGATGGTGTGGGAATAGGTCTAGGACACCTCTGCACATCTGCAAACTATGCAAACAACCAAATAAAGCAAACACCTTCCTGATTTTTTTATGTGACAACCCCGTCTCATCAGACGCACTTACAATAAGTTTTCTTCTCATGTCAGTTTTTTTTAGCGCATCAACAAAAAAGTATTTTTATTTCCAGCTCCCCACCTTTTCTCGTCTGCAGAGTTTTCACACCTTGTTTGATCTCTCTTTCACTCTTTGAGGACTCGTCCTTCTATTCAATCCCTGCAGGCTCATCAACTCTAACTACAACATAAAGTTTGAATGCAGACAGAAAAGTGTTTTTCATTGTTAGGACACCAGAGCTGCTTTGGCGCAAGTTGCAGTTACGCAGCTGGCATCAGCTAACACCACCTTTAGCTCCACACCAGCAGGCAGTTTTTGGTGTTTTCTCTGCTTTGGTGGCGCGCTTTCAAACGGGTGGGAGACAGGCAGACTTTAGAGCCACTAGGGTAGCAGCTGAGTCTGACAAAGTGCTCTTGTCCTTCTCTTCACACAAACAGAATCGGAACTTTGAGGCAGGATGCATAAACTCGAGGTCCAATCTGGTGAAGTCACTCCTGTGGTGAAAATGCAGCTGTTCCGGGAGCGAGACGCGCTTCTCATCAACACTTTCACCCAATCAGTGGCGTTCTCAAGCAAAAGCTTATACAAACATGTCCACATCCTAACATTTTCCAACTGCCAGTACAACCACATCCCGAGCGAATACATAACTCAAAGTAATTACGCAGTGAGAGTCCCTCGGGAGCAGGAATTACTTGTCCCGACGAGAAAACAATGACACAATGTGGGACGCCTTCCCATGACATCATCCCCGTGTAGGAAGTGGTGTGTATTTAAATCACTGATATTGATTATATGGTTAACTGACAGATGCAAAAGGGAGTCCTGGTTGGTTTTAGATCAATACACAACAATTACATGCACTTTAGTGGTGTTACGTGATATTCAAGAAGCTTATCTGGCATCACCCAGTTCCTGCAATTAATCCCCCTGGTTAATTTTAAATGTAAATCAATCTAAATGGTTTTAAAAACAAAACATGATGCAATTTTAGAAATGTGTAGGAATGTGAGCTTTTCTGATGCAGAACACAGCAACAGAACTGATTTGTTTTGTGTTTAATCTTTACAGCTTTTAGTTTCATTCCTGCAAAAATCACAGATGACTGAATTGTCTTTTTCCTTTAAGTGTATCCATAATTTCTAAATTCCTTTCACAAGAAGGCATTTTCCCATGAAAAAAGAGGTCAAGGGGATGTTTATATTGTTTTTCAGGTTGTCAAGACAGCAAAAAGAACAGAAAAACCCTCACTTTAAATCAAACTACTGAGGATCTTTTGTCTTCTTCATTTCATTGAAATGCTGCAGCATTCTCACACGTCACTAATCCTGCTGCACTCTCACATGATGTTGCAAAACATGCATGCATGTGATCAAGTGGGACCCCCCCTCCATCATTTCCCATGCGTACACATCATGCATGCACAGACACTGGCTGCTAGCTCCACTGACCCCAATAATGCAAGCACCCAAACAACAGCCAACGCCATTGGCTGAGTTCTTCTGGGGGATATTCTCTGCCTCTGTTGTCGTGGAAACAGCAGAGAGGCAAAGACAGAAATGGAAGCGGTGTGACTTTTTTTCTTGATGAAACAGAGCAAAAATAAATAAATAAATAACACTGTGGCAGTAATGAGAAAGACGGGGAGAGGAAAGTGCTGATGGAGATTTTCATTAATATGTCTGATCAGAAAAGCAGAGGAGGAAAATCCTGGCTTACAGAAGTGTTTGTGTGTGTGTGTGTGTGTGTGTCTTTATGTCAGGCAGTAATTTGGACCCTCTTTGAGGTACCTCTCAGCATCCATGGATGACTCATGAAAAATCCCTAATCTCCCAGCAGAAGGAGCAAACCGAGGATAAAAAGAATAAAGATTTACCAAAGCAGCGCGCCTAGGCTCATCACATTTCCAGTCCTGACCGAGAAAGATTACACTCTCCTTTCTGCACTGACATGTTTGGGCTAAACTTGTAAGCCTCTGTGGGTGCATGCGTGTGCAACGCTGCTCCTCAAATGGCTGCAGCCACCACAATCAGGCTGATTTGAACTCAGAAAGCCTATTAACAGCCTGCAGGGGTTCATTTATAATACCCACTGTGCTATATGGACACTATGACAGGATGCTTGACTGCAGTTAATGAGACCAAATGAATGCAAATTAGGCTTCCTAATCCTGCAGTGATGCTGGGTGGGAGAAAGCTTAAACATCAAGGACCGCCAGATAGATTTTGTATAAAAGCATCAAAATGTTTCACTTCCTATTTTCTACTGTCTCTAAAAACTCATGTGAACTTTACACATTTGAAGTCAGAAATCTCGCAGCAATAACAAAGAAGGAACTGATTTTATGTGGCAGATAAAACCTGATTTGTCAATCAGTGACACCTGCGGGCTGAACTGTGCAATTACAACAATGCACCTGCTTGCTGAGTGAAAAATATGATAGAAAACATAAAAGGGAGATAATAGAAGAAAAATGTTTCATTTGTGTTGTGAGTAGAGTATCATTTCATCACTTCCACATAACACACACACACACACACACACACACACACACACACACACACACACACACACACACACACACACACACACACACACACACACACACACACACACACACACACACACAGGCATACCTGTGAGGAGGGACACTTTGTGAAAGGTACCCTCCAATTTCCCCATAAGTATGTGCACAAAGCCATCTTTGGACAGATGCCCTGCTTCTTTGGAGCTCTGGTCATAAACCACCACTTCCTGCTTCCTGCCCAGCTCCACCTGCACAACAACAACAAAAAAACACAACAAAGAAGAAGGAAAGGTTCAATTTCCAGCACCGTGGTGGAAATTCTGACACAAATCTAACAAGGAAGCCAGTGTTTGCAAAAATAAATGTAAATCTAAACATCTGTTTGCTATTTTTGGGAAGCGAGAACTCTTCTACATGGAAAGATCATGCACCTAAACTAGTTTTTCATTTTCAGGAATATCCTCTGTCGGCTGAACAAAGCTGATGGGTGACATGATGATAAACGAGGCCGTGACTGTTTGACCTTTGTGCAATTTCCTCACTTCACCACTTAGTTGCTGTCAGAGACACAAAGAAGAAAAATAAACCACCAAACAGCACTCGGTGTTGTGATAATAAACGCTGTGGCGGGTAAGTTACGAAGGTAAAAGTGCAGGGTTATAAAAGATGGATAAGGGCGGAGAACTGCTCGTCACATTTACTGCTGAGACAGTTTGTTGTTATGCTGGATGGGAATTAGTGAATTCATAAAAGATGGTTCTATGTGGAGGGGAGTTTGATGAACATGAAGGGATGAGAGCGTGCACAGCTGTGCTTCTGCTGTGTGAGGGCATGTGCACGTGACTGCAAACAATCCAGCCAGGCTGTGTTGTTCTCCATGTTGTCAGGCAGGCTTTGGTCACATGACCATGAGGCAGCGCCTACTGCAGCTATGAATCACTGCATCACTGAAGCACCACTGGACAGGAGGTGCGTGTGTGTGTGTGTGTGTGTGTGTGTGTGTGTGTGTGTGTGTGTGTGTGTGTGTGTGTGTGTGTGTGTGTGTGTGTGTGTGTGTGTGTGTGTGTGTGTGTGTGTGTGTGTGTGTGTGTGTGTGTGTGTGTGTGTGTGTGTGTGTGTGTGTGTGTGAAATGAAAGGATGTTGAGGGTGAGGATGATGGAGTTAATGAGCTTAAAGGAGGTGGTTTAGGGAACAAACCATCGTTACAAAAATACTTCAGTAATTCATCATCAAAATTATCCTTCATCAGTTCCTTCACATCGCTGCTGCTCATACCAGAGCTGTGGCAGAAAGGTTTTGATTCAGCCAGGATAAGGTTGATCTGGGAAGTCTGATTTGAAGCTACTCTGGTCCAGTTAAACCTGACTTTCCGCCTGTTTCCAACGGCAGCACTGAAACTCGTCACATGTGGTTCGAGTTAGTTTCTCTCATTTGGCCTAAATGACTTTAGATCAACAATGAAATAATAAATAAAAACATTTACGCCACGTCTTGTACGAAAAGGAGATGATTTGAGACTTTATCCAGCTGTAATTAGACATTTAAAATAGAAAAAAAACATAAATTTTTCTCATTTTGTGCATTTTCATTTCTTTCTACTTTTTGAAAAAGTTTTATTTGTGACTTTCACTCCACCTCATCTTCATGTCTCCTTTTTAAATTTGTTTTAACTCTAGTCCTCTTTACTAAGCTGGGGTAAATTTGGCTAATAATCCTAATGCAATCACATCTATTTCAGGAGTCTGTTCTCAGAGCCGGAGGATTAAAGACCTTCACATGTGCGCATGCACGTGGGCATGCACACACACACACACAACTTAACACCCTCCAGGACCTTACCTATCAAGATCAACTTTTTTGGATTAAAACAGATAGTCCAGGAAAAAGTATTTATAGGGGGTGTTGATGCTACATATACAATATAATATATATTTTATTAACGTATAAACACGTTTTTTAATTGCTAAGAGCTTGAATCATGTCCTAACTCATTCAGCTCGGCCCTTTTGATGTAAAGGAGAGTCTGACTGTACAGAATGCTGGACAGGCTGCATGTTGGCTTTTTTATTTTCAGTGAAAGGTTAAAATGCACATGCTGCTAACCATGTGACATGAATAGGTTTTGCTGCAATGTTAGAGGTCAGAAACCCAAGGCCTGGGCAAGTCTGCAGCACATTACTCTCATTCCTCTGCAGTGCTACAGCATCAGTACCACTACACTCCCAGCCTAGGCAGCACTGCAGCCTTCCCTGCAGCGACTGTAAACAAGGAAATCCACTGGAAGGGTGGGGAGAAGGAAAAGGGGGAAAGGAAACAGTGATGAAAAAAATCTAAGAGATGGAGGGAATCTGGTGCAACTAAAAGGGGCAAAAAAGCACAGAAAGTTTTCCTGGATAGAATCCTGCAGGCAGCATCCAAGCTTTATCTAAAAGGAAATGGAGTCTGCAGGCAGGAACAAGGAGCAGTCACAAAGGAGAGATGATTTCTTAATGTTTTTGAAGCAGAGAGTTATTAAATCAGAAAAATAAGATGTTTGTGAAAATAATACAAAAAGACCCTTCACTTTTTAAGCACCATGGAATATGAAATATGCATTAGGAAGGAGAACACCAAGATCTGAGGCAAGGCTGAAAGTCGAGCACTGACCTCACTGTCATGTCATAGGGAAGTTCTGCACACACACACACACACACACACACACACACACACACACACACACACACACACACACACACACACACACACACACACACACACACACACACACACACACACACACACACACACACACACACACACACACACAATAAAATGAAGATGATGGCTAAATCTCAAAGATTTCCAGCAGGGTGTGTGTGTGTGTGTGTGGGGGGGGGGGGGGGGGGGGGGTGATACTGTAGGAGCTAACTGACCAGAGACAAGTTCCGCCCCAAGCCCCGTGTGAGTGTGTGTGTGTGTGTGTGTGTGTGTGTGTGTGTGTGTGTGTGTGTGTGTGTGTGTGTGTGTGTGTGTGTGTGTGTGTGTGTGTGTGTGTGTGTGTGTGTGTGTGTGTGTGTGTGTGTGTGTGTGTGTGTGTGTGTGTGTGTGACAGAGATAGAGAGAGATGGAAAGCTGGTGTGGGACACAACATCAGCATAAACAGTCTAAAAATGGCCCCACATTCCTGATACTCAGTCAGTGCTTTCAGAGTCCCACAGAAACTAGACGACTGCAGCACCAACGTGATTTATTTTATAATAAGCTCTGAACTGGGAGAAGCTGCTGCATTTAGATGTAAATCCATTTTTCATCCTGTTAATGATTTTATTTACTGATAGTTTTATCACATTAAACTGTGGCTGAAACCATGAAACTGACACCAGAGTTCATATCTAGAGAGCTTCATGAAGGGCGGTGACCTCTCTTAAAGGCTTCAACGTTACACCTACAGCCCTGATGGGGACACCACCCAGGGGCAGATGATGTCACTGACTGGCACTGACAGCTGCCCTTTCCATGCTTGCTTCAGTAGCTGTGAGGAAACTCTTATTCAAATGAGGACCAACAGAACAGAGAACATGATGTGATTTAAATAGTGGTGGTGCGTGTTTTGATGCGGAGCTGTTGACGTGTGGTTCACACCTTCACACGGCAAAACGTCAAGACACCTGAAAGGTCAGCTTCACTGGAAAACCATTTTTGAATTATTATTTCTGATTATAATTGGCCACTCTGTTTGTCGTGCAGGCTGAATATGAAATAGTTCCTACATTATCTCCTGAGGATCAGCACCTCCAAATCTGAGATCATGGTTCTCGAGTGTGTCGAGTTTGGTGGCAGGAGAATCTCGTCTCTGCTGTTTGCGGATGATGTGGTCCTCCTAGCTTCATCCAGCTCTGACCTTCAGCTGTTGCTGGGTAGGTTCGCGGCCGAGTGTGAAGCGGCTGGGATGAGGATCAGCACCTCCAAATCTGATACCATGGCTCTTGACCGGAAAAGCGTGGCTTGCCAACTCCGGGTCAGGAGAGAGGTCCTACCTCAAGTGGAGGAGTTTAAGTATCTTGGGGTCTTGTTCACGATTGAGGGTAGGAGGGATCGGGAGATCGACAGGCAGATTGGTTCGGCGTCTGCAGTGATGCAGACACTGAGCCGATCTGTCGTGGAGAGGAGGGAGCTGAGCCAGAAAGCCAGGCTCTCGATTTACCGGTCAATCTACGTCCCAATCCTCACCTATGGTCATGAGCTTTGGGTAATGACCGAAAGAACGAGATCGCGGATACAAGCGGCCGAAATGAGTTTCCTCCGTAGGGTGGCCGGGCTCAGCCTTAGAGATAGGGTGAGGAGCTTGGACATTCGGGAGGGACTTGGAGTAGAACCGCTGCTCCTACGGATCGAAAGGAGTCAGTTGAGGTGGTTTGGGCATCTGGTTAGGATGCCTCCTGGACGCCTCCCTGGGGAGGTGTTTCGGGCATGTCCTGCCGGCAGGAGGCCCCCGGGTCGACCCAGGACACGTTGGAGAGGTTACATCTCCTATCTGGTCCGGGAACGCCTTGGGGTCCTGCCGGAGGAGCTGGTGGAGGTGGCTGGGGAGAGGACAGTCTGGAGCTCCCTAGTTGGGATGCTGCCCCCGCGACCCGGACCCGGATAAGCGGAGGAAGACCATAAGGAAGTCGTGTTTTACTGCTCCACTCCAGGTAAACATTATGGTCATGTAAAGATTTCTATAATTATTCTATATTATTTACAGAAATATCTCAATAATGACGGCTTGTTTTTAATTGTTCCTGACTTAAAGTTTTTAAAAGTACAGCAGAAACTAAATAAACAGCCTCTTGTCAACATTTGTTAAAACAATAACATCGACTCCTTCATGATTTTAAACATGTCACGTATAAGTGTGTGTGTGTGTGTGTGTGTGTGTGTGTGTGTGTGTGTGTGTGTGTGTGTGTGTGTGTGTGTGTGTGTGTGTGTGTGTGTGTGTGTGTGTGGTGTGTGTGTGTGTGTGTGTGTGAGAGAGAGATGTAAGCCTGCGGTGCTATTAAATATGACCTCATCAAAGCAAACATATCACCGATCCGGTTCTGTGCGACAGCGTCAGTACCTTTAAACTGGGCAGAGGAAAAGTATGAATGAGACAAGAAAAATCCCCATTTGTTTTTCTCTGGCTGATTTTAAGAAAATAAAATATCACCATTGTGTGTCCCCAACAAAACAATTCAGTTGTATTACTGCCAGATGACTCGGGAAGCTCATGGTGTCTCTCATTTTAAAACCCGTTATCATCTCTGCTGTAATTACCTAAATATTATAAAATCATGTGACTACTCGACGCTCTAGAGCGGACTTCCTGTCATGTGTCATTGCAGCCCTTCCCTTTTGCAGCGAGCACAAACAACATATAGTGTATTGATGGAGATCTTTGGATAAATGCATTATCTGCTCATGTGCTCTCTCTCTCTCTCTCTCTGTTTGGTGGGGCACTCGACCAATCTCGCAATTAAAATCACTGACAAGATCACAGCCTGCGTGCTTCATCTCCGTGTAGTTGTAATGCTAAACACCATTCTGTTTGTATTTATGAAAGCATACGTGGATGCAATTGTGAAACTACAAGAGAAGGATTTAACCATTTGTTATGTATGAGTTGTCATATTAGGGTTCGACGTGAGAACAGAGTCATACATCAAACTCATCCTGCTTACATGTGTGAAATTATCAGATGACCCAATAAAAATTCCCTTGCCTATAAAGACAACTAAACAAATGTTGAAGATTCATAATCAGAAGCCAAAACTGAAAAAAAAATGGCAGTGTGTAATTTCCTGCCACTAGGGGGCAGTGCATACATTTCTGGATAGTTTTACACCATATTGCCGTCACTCACGCTAGTTTAAAAAACATTACGGTAAATGCTACCTGTGAAGAAGAAAGCATGCAACCTTGAAGTGACTCCTTAAACTTGCATGGTCCTTCAGTTAATTCCATTGAGAAAATGCAATGCTGATGCTAGATTTATGGCGGTGTACTTTCCGGATCTGATCGGGGTCTTGCGCCTACCAATGACGTCATCATTCTATACAACAACACCACTCGGCCAAAAAGTATTGCATCTGTTTTTTGATTTGGTTCTTTCACATAGGTTTTGGAAGTAGTTTGGCAGTTTTGTTATTAAATTTGTGTTTCTTACTGCCTAAATGTTTTAAAATGTGGTAACGTAACTTCTGTAAGTCGTACATCCAGCCAATCATCTAGTGTGACGTCATTGACAGGCGCAGGACCTAGAACTGGCCAGAAGAAAACATGGCGTCTAATATGACGCCCCCCAAAGACCCGTGCCCTATAGAGAGCCTAAGTCTCCTCCCTTTCCGGTCGGCTCATGGGTCCCCGGAAGAGCGAAAAAAACAAACAAAAAAAACAAACAAATGCAAGTCAACGGGACTAAAAATGCAATTTTCTAAACCACTTTGCCTTAGGCCCTGGATCGCACATATGTTGTACTGCAATTTAAATGAAAAGTGATGATGGGTGTTTGGACCATGCCAGTCATGCACTTTGAGATTTATCAGCTTGTAAATCTTCGTAATTAGTACGACTTCACACCAGACATCGGCACGTCGCATATGTGACATCACCACAAAATCTCCTCTCCTCAAAGTAGCAGCTACTTACCAAATGACCAGATTTATGGTGGTTCTTTCCTCATGTGGGAAGTTTGCTGAACTTACAGCCATTTTCCATCAGTTTTCTCCGTGTCTGGTTCAATGATGTCACTTTCGTGAAGCGCATTTGTAGTCCTGGACTTATTTTCACACAAAACCTAAAATAGCGTTTCCCCGTTTGAAAATAAGCGCATTCTTGGTATCAAAATATGTCTTTAAAATTCACGGACATCATATGTGAAATCCCTGGCTCAAAACAAGCTGAATTAGAAAATAGCATTTTTAGCCCCATTGACTTGCATTCACTTTTTCGTTCTTGAGGGGACCCATGATGCGGAAGTAGATGGGCGTGACTTATGGGCTCGACACACAGGAAGCGACATTGCCTCTCCTCCATTCATTTTCAATGAGACATGCGCGACAAAGTGATAATCGCGGGTCTCCCTCCTACCAAGCGAAACGCGAAAAATGTGCGTGTGAAATTTTGCGCTTGTGCACGTGTCGTGCACAGGCGACCCAGCGACGCAATCCCAGAAAGTTGAAACATTTTCAACTTTTCATCGCTGTCGCTCGGACGAGGACCAATCAACGGAGGTTTCATTCACTGACCAATGAGCGGACAGGATGCTCCGTACATCTCCGAGCAAACATGGAGGAGAAGTTGATTATTATTATGTTTTATATAGTAAAATCACAAGTAAGATTTCACATAACTCTAGCAGCACCTTTATTAACTCTGAACCGCTTAAATAACCTTAATTCCCTCCAACCTGACACAGCAAAACAAAACAACGGAAGTTTCGATTTCGCCATGGAACAGAACGCGTCGACGGCTTTGCCGCTGGCCGCTGCCGCTGGCCGCTGCCGCGAGTCGCCTCTCGTGTGTCAGGTAATAAAAGCGACGGCGACAAATTTCGCTGATCGTGGTCGTTTGTCGCCTCCCGTGTGTCGAGCCCATTAGGCTCCCTATGTACTTTAGACCCGATTTTTATAGTTGTATGTTATGAAGCCACCAGTCTTTTTCAACAACTGGACATCGTTTTATTCATTTTCAACAACGTTTCAATTGACATTTCTAGATATTAACGGTAAAAATACACCTTGTGACTTTAAACAAATCAACGAAGACTTTTAAACGCTGGTCAACCTTTTGATAGAGTGCATCAAATAATTTATTGTTTATTATTTCTATTCTACAGTGGGACAAAAAAGTATTTAGTCAGCCACCGATTGTGCAAGTTCTCCCACTTAAAATGATGACAGAGGTCAGTAATTTACATCATAGGTACTCTTCAACTGTGAGAGACAGAATGTGAAAAACAATCCATGAATTCACATGGCAGGATTTTTAAAGAATTTATTTGTAAATCAGGGTGGAAAATAAGTTTTTGGTCAATAACAAAAATTCAACTCAATACTTTGTAACATAACCTTTGTTGGCAATAACAGAGGTCAAACGATTACTATAGGTCTTTTCCAGGTTTGCACACACAGTAGCTGGTATTTTGGCCCATTCCTCCATGCAGATCTTCTCGAGAGCAGTGATGTTTTGGGGCTGTCGCCGAGCAACACGGACTTTCAACTCCCTCCACAGATTTTCTATGGGGTTGAGGTCTGGAGACTGGCTAGGCCACTCCAGGACTTTCAAATGCTTCTTACGGAGCCACTCCTTTGTTGCCCGGGCGGTGTGTTTGGGATCATTGTCGTGTTGGAAGACCCAGCCATGTTTCATCTTCAAAGCTCTCACTGATGGAAGGAGGTTTTGGCTCAGAATCTCACGATACATGGCTCTATTCATTCTGTCCTTAACACGGATAAGTCGTCCTGTCCCCTTAGCAGAAAAACAGCCCCAAAGCATGATGTTCCCATCCCCATGCTTCACAGTAGGTATGGTGTTCTTGGGATGCAACTCAGTATTCTTCTTCCTCCAAACACGACGAGTTGAGTTTATACCAAAAAGTTCTACTTTGGTTTCATCTAACCACATGACATTCTCCCAATCCTCTGCTGTATCATCCATGTGCTCTCTGGCAAACTGCAGATGGGCCTGGACATGCACTGGCTTCAGCAGCGGAACACGTCTGGCACTGCAGGATTTGATTCCCTGCCGTTGTAGTGTGTTACTGATGGTGACCTTTGTTACTGTGGTCCCAGCTCTATGCAGGTCATTCACCAGGTCCCCCCGTGTGGTTCTGGGATTCTTGCTCACCGTTCTCATGATCATTTTGACCCCACGAGATGAGATCTTGCATGGAGCCCCAGATCGAGGGAGATTATCAGTGGTCTTGTATGTCTTCCATTTTCTGATAATTGCTCCCACAGTTGATTTTTTCACACCAAGCTGCTTGCCTATTGTAGATTCACTCTTCCCAGTCTGGTGCAGGTCTACAATTCTTTTCCTGGTGTCCTTCGAAAGCTCTTTGGTCTTGGCCATAGTGGAGTTTGGAGTCTTGACTGTTTGAGGCTGTGGACAGGTGTCTTTTATACAGATAATGAGTTCAAACAGGTGCCATTAATACAGGTAACGAGTGGAGGACAGAAAAGCTTCTTAAAGAAGACGTTACAGGTCTGTGAAAGCCAGAGATTTTCCTTGTTTGAAGTGACCAAATACTTATTTTCCACCCTGATTTACAAATAAATTCTTTAAAAATCCTGCCATGTGAATTCATGGATTTTTTTTTCACATTCTGTCTCTCACAGTTGAAGAGTACCTATGATGTAAATTACTGACCTCTGTCATCATTTTAAGTGGGAGAACTTGCACAATCGGTGGCTGACTAAATACTTTTTTGCCCCACTGTATTCTATTCTATTCTATTCTATTCTATTATTAAATTATTTCTCAATTTTAAAAAAATCACAAAATCCAACATATTTTAAGTTTTTTTCTTCCTGATGTGGACATTAAATGGCTTAAAGGTTAAGATAGAATAATTGTTTTATTTCAATTGACCTAAATTAAAACCCCTTACTCGTGTAATTAATATACGGATCAATATAGTGGAACCAGCTCCAAACAAAAAATATGTATAAAATGTAATATCATTCCATATTCTCTCTTCACCTGACTTCTAATTTGTTCCATTCTGATTCAATATGACTATTCCCCCTGCTTCAAATGAATACTCTGCATAGTTTTTATTTACTTAATTCTATTCTGTTAAACTCACTTGTTACTGAATCTATTTATCTAGGTCAGTATGCCAGAAAACGCAAAGGCAAAGGTGATTCTTTTGGGCATTTTCATTCTCCAGCGCATAAATCACCATTGAAATCCTATAGAGTGTTAAAAGAGAGTCATTCTGGGAAGCTTCTGGCTCACATGTAGGAGCTTCCTTGGGCTGGTTATTGGTAGTGACAACCTCTGGTCCATCTGTCAGACTGCCTGCACCCTCACAACCCCAGAGATTACCCTAGCTTAAGAAAGAAACCAGCAGCTCATCAGAGAAATCACGAGGAAGTCCCATCCTGACTAAGCCCTGTGCTGTCCCTCTCCCATCATCAGAGGTCGTCTCCTACGTCCTGCGACATCCAGCTACCCCCGACCTACTTTTCCAGAGAGCTTTATTAAAGAGAGACGAGTTGAGATGTGAAACGCAGTAGAAAGAGGACACCGTTTTCATCGCTGCTGGTGTTCATTCAGCTCAGTCAACGTAAGATGTGAGCTTCTATGAAGTGGGGTTAGTGCGACGCCCTGGGGGATGCAGGCTATTAGTTCTCAATGGGATGTGAGGCAAGAGGCAGCCAGGCAGGAGGTGGAGGCAGCAGCACATCCATGAATACCCTTCATGCTGCTCTCCCGCTTCCTGCATTCACTTCCTCAACAAAGAGCCACAATGGTGTCCTTTGCTGTCTTGGCTGGCTGAGACGGCTCCTGGCGATGCACAGAGCCATGTGGGGGTTGTGTGTGTGTGTGTGTGTGTGTGTGTGTGTGTGTGTGTGTGTGTGTGTGTGTGTGTGTGTGTGTGTGTGTGTGTGTGTGTGTGTGTGTGTGTGTGTGAGGGGTCAGTTGGGAGCTGGCTCTAATGCCACCCAGTTAGGCTGCACGTGCCCAACCTGCGGCCTGCCAGTGGCCAAACAAAAGAGATGATGTCATGCTCAGCCAATAACTAAAGAGTTCAGGTCTGTCGGACCCGCCCTTCTCACCCGGCTGCTTCCAGCCTTATCCAGCTTTAGCGTTAATCACAAGCCTTATCCTCTTAACTGGGGGTGGGGGGATGGACGAAAACAAACCAGCCCTTGAGCGACTCTGGACAGGCTGAGGAAACGAAGGAACAGGTCAGTGCTGCGAGTCTGCAGACTACAGCTGCAGCAGACAGAGCTGTCATGTGAATGAAAGTGAGACAAAGGAGGAAGCATGACTCTGTGGGGTGCCACAGTGTGACATCTGCCAAACACAGAGCCTCACATAGAGATGACCCCAACAGGCTCCACAAAGAAACACACTGATCATAATGAAAATCTAATTCAGACTAAATTAAATACACATCGGAGTCACACACGGGAGCAACACACTGTTCTACTCCGTCCTGGTGCTTTTCCTGTAGTACAGACACCATAACAAGCCAAAATATTCTAATCATGGCCACAGATTTGTAAATCTGGATGTAAAAGGAGCGCCAGACTTTGTAAAGGCCTCACAATGAAATTAATGGTAAACAGCAGGTGCACACGGTGCACAGAGACAAGCCACTCTGACCTGCTCCTGGCAGCCAAGGTGTTAAACAACAAAAACAGGATTATTTTATGGACTTGATGCCACACCTAAGTAAAATATGTAACTCCCCTCCTGTCAAGCGGCATAGTTTATGGTGACGAGAATTTGATACTTAAAACATACGGTTTGAAACCAGGAAGAAGACATTCTGAGCTGCTGCAGGGTGCATGCATATAGACTGTTTGGAAGCACATAAAACCCCCTCAAAGGTTTCCTTCAGTTACCCACAAAGCCTAAAAACACAGGAGCCAACGTCGTGCCACAGGTGGACCGGCTATGGAAAAAAAAGCTGTCATATTCAGAGAAGTCATGGAAAATGGGAGGATCTGATTTCAGGGCCACTGATAAGCTACAAATCTACACTATCCCTGTCTGTGTGCCAAATATAGCCCCCACAGATGTGATGCATGCCCAGGCTAGCACAGAGGAGCCCCATTCAGAACCGCACGAGTCCATGGGGCTCACGAATTCTGCTGGACTTAAATAATTGAGTCTAGTTTTGTCACTTTAACAGATAAATGACATCCTGAGTTAAATCTGATAGCCTACTTTTCCTAGATAGTGCACATGCTGTGTAACACAACTGAAACAAATAGCATTGATTAAAAGTACATTTAAAAGGAGGCCATTGACCTTTGAGCGACTGCAAAAGATTTCCTTTGGGTCTACTTATCTTTAAACTAGCATGGCTTCATATCTTATCACACGCATCTCCAATGCATTTACGTCTCAAATCAGAATCAGCTCTCTTGCTACAATGGAAATAAGGATGACTACGAACTTTAAACACAAAATATTATTCACCACCCTACAAGAATGATCTGCAGGGTTTTCTTTCATGGACAACATAGACAAATCTTGTATTTACCAAAAGATAACCAGTTAAAAAGTAACGTTGATGACATGCGGCAAACTAAATTAACCCTTTAATGTTTGAGTCATTATTATTTTTAAATGGCCACACTGAACTAAATCATAAGATACCAAATACAATCCCCTCAGTAATACCATTAAAAATGGCTGCCAGCAGGAATCGGTGGGACCCAGACGAAGGGATAAAAACCAGAAGTCATCTACCAACATTTTTTTCTGAACTCCAGATGTTTTCCCCGATGGGAAATGAAGAACGTGCCACAATCTCTGCCATTGCATCCTCCCATACTTCAGGTGTCTAGCAGCTGTAACTCACCTTCACCTTTCCGTTGGGCTGCAGCAGCTCAGTGACGGATATCTTGTCCTGCTGCAGGCGCCTCTTCACCAGCTTGGAGTAGCAGACGTTGACCGCACCTTGCACGTGTGAAGCGTTGTACTCGGAGAACGTCCTGCTGTCGATCACCAGCAGGCGTCCCGTCCCTCTCTGGATGAGGCTCGCCAGGCGCTTGATGTCCATGGCACTTTGCTTGTTGGGCCCTTTCTCTCCTGCCATGGTTTAGCCGAGTGGTTGGACGTTGGTGGTTTGTGAGGAATGAGGAATAAATGGAGAGAGGAAAGGATGGGGAGGAGGAGAGGTCAGTGGAGGAGAGCTACCAGCAGAGCAGGAGGCAGGAGATCCATGGTGCCTAAAAGAAAAAAGAAACATACAAAAATAAATAATAAACCAGCTGCTGCAACGTGACAAAGACAAATCCTTGGCACATAAATGGATCTATTTTTGTGCTTCTGCATTGTCTTTTATTAGCAGCTCGCTTATTAAAATAACTACAATGCTAGAGAAGTTATGTAAAGGCTAAACAGCCAACAAACTCACTTTTCAGCTCTGTGATCTGAACACTTCCTTCAAAATAAAATACATCAGACTTAAAAAGAAACACAGGTGTGTGTGTGTGTGTGTGTGTGTGTGTGTGTGTGTGTGTGTGTGTGTGTGTGTGTGTGTGTGTGTGTGTGTGTGTGTGTGTGTGTGTGTGTGTGTGTGTGTGTGTGAAATTTAACGCAGTTCTGTTGTGCAGTTACTCATGAAACAGGAAACTGAGGGTGTGAGATAAATAAAACCGGGGGAATTTAGAGAGTAGGCCTGGACACAAGCATAGGGCCCGTGTGTGTGTGTATGTGTGTGTGTGTGTGTGTGTGTGTGTGTGTCAGAGAGTCGTCCATGAACTTGATGAACTGTCTAGTCGTATCCGTCTCTTCCAGTCGCTCTCAGCCCGTCCCTGCTCACATTCAACGCAACATTTTAACATTAAACACGAGCCCCGTGTTCACGGCCGATCAATAATCAGCATTTTTAAGACCAGCGACTGCATAGCTGTGAGTAAGTGTGTGAATATTCAGCTAAACGTGACCACAGTGAAACCAAAGACACATTTGACGCTATTAAAAACAAAGAAGAACAGAGCCAAGAGAATTAATTTGTTGATCGACCCCTGGTATCCAACAAGGGTCAGAATGTGAATGTGCCATGCTGTTTTATTTATCTACAGGCATGTGGTGACATGAAAAAATAATGGGCTCAGTCTCATTTACCCCAAAGCCTGAATGGAGCTTTAAAAGGGAGAGTGCAAAAGAGAGAGAGGTGTGCAAACAAATACAAATAAAGTAGCACTCAAATCATGTAATGAGTTATGTTTTCTATTAGAAGAGTTTTAAACAGCACAAAAGCCCTTTGTGTGAAGCTGAACCTTCTGATCGGTCTGGTTTGGAAAAACATCAAAATCTGCTAAATCTTTTCACTTCTCTGACACTCCCTCGTGCACAGAGGGACGGAAGAGGAGGAGGGAAGCGAGGGATGTTGTTCAGAGAGGATCTCTCCAGCCTAGCAACCAAGCCAGCTCAAGGTGTGTGTGTGTGTGTGTGTGTGTGTGTGTGTGTGTGTGTGTGTGTGTATTAGAGCTGGAGCAGAGAGGACAGAAAAAAGGGGTAAGGAGCACAACAAAATTATAATAATGGTAAATGGTTTGTATTTGTATGGCACCTTTTGAGGGTTCACAACACAGTTAGTCATCCACCCGCACACACACACACACACACACACACACACACACACACACACACACACACACACACACACACACACACACACACAGGTGATGGTGAGCTACAATGCAGCCACAGCTGTCCTGGGGTACACTGACAGAAGTGAGACTGTGGAACACCGGTCCCTCCGGCCACCACCAGCAGGCAAGGTGGGTTAAGCCATTACAAACGAGCCAAAGGGTGCTGCAGTGTTACTACAAAATAATGTTATGAGGCCCTGTAGGGGAAGTAATTAAAATCATATTTTTTCCCATTTTCATTTTTCTGAATAAATACTTTGTAAAAAATATTAATCAGTCGTGAAATTTAAAATATAAATGAATGTAGGGCCTTACTTATACAGCCTGTTGGCTGAACATATGCACACATGTGCTGCTGCAGCCAGACAACATGCTCAATGCAAGAGACACCATAACATGGAACACTCATGAAAACACTTGACAGCTGCTGCAGCACTGCACAAAATAAAAACATATAAGATGCACAATAACATGAATGTGGATAAAAAATAAAACGCTCTAAAATGTAACCTTTCTGCATCCATGCAGCTTACTAGATCTAAGCAGCAGCAACATGCAATGGCATATGCTCAGATGCAATCCACCTTAAAGTGTTGCTGCAAAGCCAACACCTTGCAGATACATCCTCTACATGGGAGCGTGTCCCCAAACCTGTTATACCATACCGTCTATGGTAGGCTGACCTTAAGCTTCCAGGGATGGGGATCTTTTCCTGTTTCGTGTTTACGTCCCAGCTGCTGAGCACCGCATCGGATGCTGCAAATGTCTAATGGCGACTGCTCTCCCTCCCACCCACAGTCTGGCACTTTTCCTCCTCTCTGGATCCCTCCTTCCTTCTATCACTTTCTTTCTCCTTTTTGTGCAGTGGACGGGAACGGGGGGGAGGAGGTGTGCAGGTTTTTTTATGTGTTAGTGAGACTGGAGCGCCGCGTCTTTCTAGACAAACACCCCACACAGTTTGAGTGAAACAGAAATACAGCTAAATGTGTTAATAAGCAAAAAGTAGCAGTAGGGATTATAGTGATAATACCATGATGATGAAGAGAAGTAGCATCTGCAGCATGCCAATTCTGGATAGCAACCCAGCTTTAAAAATAAAATAAAATAAAAGACTACGTGATTCATTTACACCTTTTCAGCAATATAATGAAAACAATGTGTTAACAAGTAAATAAAGCTTCTCACACCACAATGAGCAGCTGCCAGGGGTTTGCTGTGAGCCTCTGACTGAACTGAGGAAAAATAAAGCCCATGCAAACACGAGATGAAGCAGGTAGACGGTGTGCAGACCCACAGCAGATTCTGTTGTTGCCATGGAAACAGCCTGTGTAGCACGATTTGGGGGCTCGTGGCGAATGATGGCGACAGGATGCTACTGGTGCTGATGCTGGGAAATCCAGGCAGGGAGGAAACAACAACACAACCAGTGGGACTCAGACCTGAAAAGCTCTCCCTGATGAAGATGGTTCATTTTTACATAACACTTCTCAGTTTTGTTTATTTATTTGCGATTTAGGAACATAAACATCCAAATAGAAGATTTTTTTATTGTAAGATCTGTTATTTTAGGTACATTTGAGTTATTGGAGGCCCTTGATAAGTAATAAAGCTGATTTTAAAAATGTTAAAAAAGACAATGGAGTGTGTGTGACCCATCTTTTCTCTAATCAGATTAATAGTTTCAACCCACATTGAGCAGTGTAACTTTTCTCCTAATGCTGGTTCAACACTCCGCTGGTTAAGTCACCATAACATCATTACTCTCTTCCTGCAAGTCAATGAGTGAGCTAGGTGTATTTAGTCGTTTTAGGTTTTTTACGGTGGTTTTTTCCAGTTTTGTACCGTATTTTCCGGACTATAAGCCGCTACTTTTTTCCCACGCTTTGAACCGTGCGGTTTATAATGAGGTGCGGCTTTACAGAAGATTTTTCTTCACCTGCAGGGGGCGCTTTAGCAGAAAGTGAAACAGGTGGAAGTCAAAAGTGGAAATCGAAGAAAGTGCTCGTTTTAATTTAGCACATGCAAGCAGCCGGCACGACAAAGAATTTTTTTCAAATCCATACCCCCTCATCATGGTAACTACACGTATGAGATCATATGTTTAAGTTGAAGGCCATCGATCTGGCAGTAAAGGAGGGAAACAGTGCTGCCGCACGTAAGATTGGCATGAATGAATCCATGGTTCGGCGCTGGAGACGGCAGCGGGAAGAACTCATTCAAGCCAGCTTCACCCGGGATGATGACAGCGACACGGACAGCGACACCGACATTGCCACAGAAAAGGTATGTGACGAAGCTCTTCTGAGGCTGTTCAACTCCGACACTGAAGAAGAGGACTTTAATGGCTTTAGTGTGCGAGGAAGATGAGAGCGAATGACTTCTTCTGGTAGGCAAGTGTGTTTTACTTACTAACCAGGCAAGTTTTGTGTGCAGTTTGTATTTTCTAATCATCCAGGGCTTATTAATGCTGTGTCAGCGCTGTTCTTTTCTTCTAAACATGCAAATTACTGGTAATAACATGTCAGTGCTGTTTTTATTTTATAACCATCCAGAAATATGAATGCTATCAGTGCTGTTTTCTTTTCTAAACTTGCAGGCACATTCACCCGTGTTTAAAATTCATTTTGTTGAATTAAAACAACAACAAAAAACCTCTGTGTAGCGTCTTTCTGTCTAATTATTTTATGTTATGGCCGTACATGCGCTGTGCGCCGGAGACCTGCATGTGGCTGCTGCGCCGCGGCTTGTATTTGAGTGTGGCGTGTGTGTGTGTGTGTGTAGAAAACCTTTTTTTTTGTTGGTGCGGCTTATGTAGAGGTGCGCTCTATAGTCCGGAAATTATGGTAGGCGTTATAAAGAAAACAAGCACTGATGAAAGGTGTTATGGCAACAAGTGAAGTCCACTGCCAACAAGCTACCTGTTTTTTGTTAACATAATCTTTTCTGTAGTCAGAATATTTCCACACAACCGATGGTGCGTTTCTCTCTCCAGTTTTTCTTTTTGCTCTTCGGTGACTCGAGGTGAATTTGCAAAGATATATTAAAATTCTTATATAGAATAATAAGTGCTTCAAATGCTAAATGAAGACATTAGATTTTTCGTAACTCACCACCAGAATCTTTGAAAGCATTCGTAATAGTATTACCTCTACCGTGTGGCATTCTTAGACATAACTGTTGCAAAATCAATGAGCACATGCAAAAGTCCCCTTGTAAAGTTAAATACAGTCACACAAACCATCAGCCACTTTTACTGTTGCTCTCTTTATGGCTGGCAGTAAAATGCTAATAAAAACAACTTTTCTGTAGCGCACTCACAAACTCACACACTCACACCCACACACACCCACACAAAAAGATCAGGAAGTAACTTCATCTCCATTAAATCAGCAATCCATACAGGAATATTGACAGTTTTCCAACAAACCAATGAGCCAAATGCCACAAACCAGCTCAATGAAGCCGTATCAGAGCTGATGACGAGAAGCAAGCACAAAGGAAGCAACTGGAGGGCAACCAGAGGTGATGTAATACCATCCAGGTTTTTCATTAACTCGCTGCATAACGTCACCTGCGTCCGCAGCCTTGAGTAGGCTGATAAAGAGTGGAGTCACTGACGGACAAGGCTTGTTTGTTTATACTGCAAACAGTTACATCATGAGAGCATCTCATGGTCTTCAGCCTGCCCCACAGGATCTGCCGTCAACTAAAACGGTGCTAAACTGTCTCTCCTTATGAGTGCATGTTATTATCGCTTAAAAAAGAAACTACAACAAAGCGCTGTGCACAAATTCAGGCCACCAAAACCGACCTGCCTAGTTCTTGGGTTACAAAAATTCACGTTCAAGACTCAGCAACTGTTCCTAAAATGTTAACGTGTTTAACGAAGCTGAGACATAGATAACAACATTGTGGAACAAAATTTATTGGTGGCTGATTTTGCAAGGATTGAATATTAGGCACAATTTTCTGTATCAGTACTGAACTTAAAGCTGCAATACGGATTTTTCCTTTTCAGTTATTACGCACGTTTTTTAGGAATCCGTAAAAGTGATTTGTCTTATCTGTACTCCATACCGTGATATAATGTAGGCAATACTTTTTTTTTCGCTAAGCCCGTCAAAGCTATCAATTGGCATGCTTATCCGGGGTCGGGTTGTGGGGGCAGTAGCCTAAGCATGGAGGCCCAGATTTCGCTCTCCTCAGTCACTTGGGCCAGCTCCTGCGGGATAATCCAAAGGTATTCCCAGGCCAGCAGAGAAACACAGTCCCTCCAGCGTGTCCTGGGTCTTCCTTTAGGTCTTCTCCCAGTTGGATGTGCCCGGGGGAAAAAATCTCACCAAAGAGGCATCCTAACTAGATGCCTGAGCCACTTCAACTGGCTCCTCTCAATGTGGAGAAGAAGCGCATCTACTTTGAGCCCCTCCCAGGTGACAGAGCTTCTCACCCCATCTCTTAGGAAGAGCCAAGCCACTCTGCGGAAAAAACTCGTTTCGGCCGGTTGTATCTGCAAACTTGTTCTTTTGGTCACTACCCAAAGCTCGTGACTCTAGGTGAGAGTAGGAACTTAGGTCGACCGGTAAATCAAGAGCTTGCCTTCCGGCTCAGCTCTTTCTTCACAGGTATATACATATACAAACAAATGAGGTCTAAGCTGTTTAGCCCTGGAGATGATCAGTGTCTCATGTTATTTTAGCAATCATGCAATTTTGAAAAAATCAATTCCTGTCTGGCCCTGGTGGACAACATCAGCTCCAAATGTCTGTAAACAATCCAAATATAAAACCCTCTGGTGTGCTCTGATCGATACTCCTGCAGGGAGGCAGCAGGAGATAAAGAGGTCACATAACAAACCAGGACTACCCCTGACTTTAAACGCCTGCATCCTGAGGGAAAGCAAAGCATTGTGCGGAAATACACACACGCGCGCGCACACACACACACACCGCGCACGCACACACACACACACACACACACACACACACACACACACACACACACACACACACACACACACACACACACCTTGTAATCGGATGCACACACACGTGGAAAGGACGTCTTTAGAAATAATTGCATTGCTTCAGATACAGCGACCAATAACGGGACGGGAGACACAAAGACAGATATGGGACACTGTGTGAGAGCGTGAATAACAATGATGGAGAGGGAGCGATCAGCGCGCGCTGATAATAACCCGACATACATTAGGAGGAAATATGAACATACAAACTCCTTGGCTTTTAAATTTGGTGAAATTAAAAGAAGGCTACATCGTTACAGTCAGTTGAGCGGCTGTTGTCAGTGGGAGCCTATCCCGTTTTGTTGTGACGCGTCTGCACGCGAAAATGCTGCGATGACAGAAATGAGACAAAAACGACGATAAAAATAATATTGATTCACACTCACCGTCTAATGATGGAAGAGAGAACTAGCGGGTATTTACGAGAAAATACTTTATAACTTCAACCTGGATAGGTTTAATTCCCATTATGAGACGTGCGCGCACATGAAAAGGGGAGTGCGCGCTGGAGCTCACTGCAGCAGTAGGTGTATGGCAAGCCGATGAGGCATGTAATGACTCTTCTAGCAATAACAACATCCGTCTTAAAACGAGTCTGTCTTGACTAAGTAAAATAAATGGTGGGAAATACAAGGTTTTTAAACTAGAATGACTAACAATACTTGAAATATTCCAAAGGTTGTTTAATCACTTACCGCTAATGGAAAAACCAACCAATTATATCCAGAATTAAATCTGTTTGGAAAAAAAATGTTTTTCCACATTAAATAGACTTATTCTAACTCACAATCAAAAGTTTAAACCTCCAAAATCATTCCTACAATGGGGCAAATTGTGCATGTTATTTGGGACTTACAGGTGAAATTGGAATATGGTGCAAAAGTCCATTTATTTCAGTAATTCAGTTTTGACCATTTAAGGAATTTGTTGCAGGCGTTTTGGATTCAATAGCAGTAGATGAGGATCAGCACCTCCAAATCTGAGACCATGGTTCTCGACCGGAAAAGGGTGGCTTGCCAACTCCGGGTCGGGGAGAGGTCCTACCTCATGTGGAGGAGTTTAAGTATCTTGGGGTCTTGTTCACGAGTGAGGGTAGGAGGGATCGGGAGATCGACAGGCGGATTGGTTCGGCGTCTGCAGTGATGCGGACGCTGAGCCGATCTGTCGTGGTGAAGAGGGAGCTGAGCCAGAAAGCCAGGCTCTCGATTTACCAGTCGATCTACGTCCCAATCCTCATCATGAGCTTTGGGTAATGACTGAAAGAACGAGATTGCGGATACAAGCGACTGAAATGAGTTTCCTCCGTAGGGTGGCCGGGCTCAGCCTTAGAGATAGGTTGAGGAGCTCGGGCATTCGGGAGGGACTCGGAGTAGAACCGCTGCCCCTCCGGATCGAAAGGAGTCAGTTGAGGTTGTTTGGGCATCTGGTCAGGATGCCTCCTGGGCACCACCCTGGGGAGGTGTTTCGGGCATGTCCTGCCAGCAGGAGGCCCCCGGGTCGACCCAGGACACGTTGGAGAGGTTACATCTCCAATCTGGTCCGGGAACACCTTGGGGTCCTGCCGGAGGAGCTGGTGGAGGTGGCCAGGGAGAGGACGGTCTGGAGCTCCCTAGTTGGCATGCTGCCCCGCGACCCGGACCCGGACCCGGACCCGGATAAGCAGAGGAAGACGACGACGAGATTTTGAATTTGGGGTTTTCGTAAGCTGCGTGCCATAACCTTTTAACAAATAAAGGTTTGAAATGTCCTTGCGTGTAATGCATCAACCTCATATGTTAGTTTCACCTTTTAATTTGAATTACTTAAATAAATGAACTTTTGCACCATATGCAAATTTTTAGAATTTCGCCTGTCAAGTAAAAACATATATAGATTGAATAATATTTTATATCTGAAACTCACTACAGCAAAAATTTGTATCTTAGATAGTTAAATTCTCAGTTAGACTTTTATAAAGAGTTAGTTTTAGATGTGCAAACTAAAAAACCACATAGAGAAATATCTAAATTTAATCTTTTGGGCAATTTTCCTAAAATATGTTTAAGATACAGGCACCAGTTTTATTTTTGAGCTCAAAGCTGCTTAGCTCACGGCAGTTCAAACCAAAATAGCTCTGGATAGATCTGAGCAACAAAGCGTAACTTTCTTGTTACATCGCCATAATAGCTGTACAGGTAATAATAGCTTTTTACAGCACTTTGTATCATTTTTATGGGAAACATATGTTTAGCAGCTATATAATTTATGCATTCAGTCATAAAAGGTGCAGACTTGATGCACTGAAAATGTTTAAAAAGCCCGACAATAAGTAAATTTGCATTTGCGATATCTTCAATGATCGATAGGATGAAAACTAAAAATGTGCATCATGAACAGCTGTAGGTTCTGTTTGACTATTGAATGATAATTTGGCTTGCCCAAGTTGTAATATCGCAAGTTAGCGTAAAATTTAGATGAAATTAAAACAAATGTGCTTTTATTTCATAAACATACACTCTCTCTCTCTCGCACACACAGAGAGACGCACACTCACCTGGGCTCCACGCAGTTATTGTGTTTTATTCAACTGGTCTCCATGTCAGCGGTGTCTCTTCGTGGGTGTTTACCTGGCGGTGTTGTGGAAGCGCCACAGCTGACAGAGGCTGACAGCGCCAAGAACAAAAGAGGCATGGAGACTCGCTGCCCGGGCCACAAACGTCCCCGCCTGCCCCAAAAGCGGACCAGGAAACGCTGTCGGCCCGTGGGGAGCTTACGCAGCTAGACTAGTTCAGGTAAAGAAACTATTAATGTGTGTGAGTGTGTACGTCGAGGAGGAGAGGGACACCCTTCTGCACTTTCATTAACTAAAACGATGAGGTCATGGTTCAGGGAGAGGAGTGGAAAAAAAATGTTAGCATACGTCACCTCCAGCCAATCAGCGTGGTCGGCTCAGGGGTAGGCTGACGTCAACGTTTTTGCTTCCTGAATTAAAGGGATAGTCTGTCTTTATTCTTTTTTAAAGGAGACGCGCTCATGTGTGGTTTGAAAACGCATTTTGAACTCAAATAAAAATCACTTGGAATAGTTAAACATTTTAATCGCCCATATCAACGAAAAACTTACGTTTCTGAAGTTGTATTCGCCTTCTGATTTTCTAATTAATTTTGCACTAGAGAGATAACTTTCACTTTTTTCTTTCCCCTTAAATTGTGGTTTAAAAACACACCAATGAAAATTGTGCATAATTTACACAAAACGATTTGAAGTGGTGATCCACTGAATGTTTTTGGATTAGTTGATTACAATATTGTTAATTTAATTTATAGTTTCAATCACTGGATCCACTGATATAACAACAATAGCTTATCCTATCCCAATAAGGTTATAAATTAAAAACAATAAATAAACACACAAATAAAAACGTAACTGCACCAGAACGATCAACTCTGGGTGTGAGGAAGCCACACCCTGTCTGTAATTAAAAAAATCGGAACCAACAGTCATTTGTTCTGTATATTTTCTCTGATAACTAATTAAACATGCTTGTGTTATTTTGCTGTAACTGTTCCAGTATGTGTAAAGAATTATGAGTCAGTGCTGCGGTAAAGAAACATAAAGTAGCAAGTTTTAACAAATAATTCGAATAAAACTAAAATAGTTTGAAACGTACATTTCTACTAAAACTACTTTTTGAAATTGAATAATGTGTTTTGGCTGAAAGAGAGGAGCCTACAATAATTCATTGATGTAATTTAACAAAAATAAAAATACAAAGCACTAACTTAACTCTGGTGTTGCTTTATCACATATATCTGAATTCAAATTTTTTATTAATTTATTGTTAAAAGTCTTTATTCTTCATAATTTGTCTGAATTCTTTCTGTTCAGTGCTGTTCCAGTGTGTGTAAATACCACCATCTAGTGGCCAGCATGATAATGCACCCTGGACAAAAGGTGGAAGACTTGAGTTCCAACACAGCTGAAGACTAAAAACAAATAAAGTTTGCATATTTGTAAATGGACATCAGTCAGAGAAAAAGCTGAACAGATTCATGAAAATCTACCTTTATTTGGATGCAAAAACTCACAACTTAAAGCAGCAGAGGAGAGGAATACGGATTGCTGGTTATTGTATGTCTGACTTTTTGGCTGTTTTTATTATTATCGTCCCCATTTTGAGCGTCAGAGGCGGGCCGGTAAAGCACTGAATAACAAACACTCAAAATAAATGCTGTGGTGTCAAATTCACCCGACATTATCAGAGGATCATGATAGAAGCCCTGTTTTCTCCTTTAAAGTACTTTTGGCAGTTTTGTTTTATGCGTTGAGTTGATTTTCACTAATTGGTCCCATCCCACATATTTGGTTCATTCCATCCTCTGATAATGTTGACCGCCAAAGAAGTTGTTGGATTCTTTTACTTTGTTACATAAAAAACTTTCTCCACTGTTTTAGCTGCCTTCACATGTAGCAATTACTTCTCAACTGTGTTAACCGAGAGTGGCCTAATGTCACAGATGGATGTAAGGACTGTGTAAAAAAACTCAGTCTGAGGTAAAATTCTCCAAGAAAACAGTAACAAAAAAAAACATACACATAAAGCAAAGCATAATAAAGCAAAGCCTGAAGGCCTAAAGTATTAATACTGAAGACTGAACATAATTTATTTTTTTACCGTACTATAAGGTAACTTAGGTAGTTGTCACATTTTCTTCTGTTAAATCTTGCAATAGAAACCAATGGTTTTGATCCACAGTATGAGCTACATTCCATCATGTTGTAAACGGAAATATACACAAGGCATCTACTCGAAAGGATTGTATCAAAATGTTCTAAAAATATCTCTGGTTGGTTTCACAAAAGCAAACTGTATCAAAAGCATTGGCCAGGAGCAAGCAATATAATAACAGGCTTAAACCCTTTCTACACAACAGAAAGCGGGACAATCAATCACGTCGCTTTGATTTTGGACCTACGGAGTCCCATACGGCACATGCAATCCATTAAACTCAACACAATCAAAACACAATACAGGAAAAGAAGAAGAATTTTACAGCTGAACATCAGAGACATTAATTTGTCTATTGTGCTTCATACAGAATAGGCCTGGCCTGTCTATACAACAATCATGGGCTTCATTTTATTTATTTACTTTTTACTTCACAGATGCGTTCAAGCTACAGCTGAGAGCAGAGGCATCACAGAGCACAAATATGACAAACGTGGTTAACCTAAAGCTTCTCTGCTGGATCTCCCATTGCTTTTTATTTTAAAGGTGTGGTTCACTCGTTGCATTTTCAGCGGTCTCTGGTGGGAATGAATGTCTTGTAAGTCGTACTCTGGGGAAAAAATGCACTGGCGCACCAGGACCTAGAAGTGAGCCAGATCACAGGATTTGGAGTTTTACTTCCTGATATTTGGGCATCTCGTCCCTGGTTGGATAACAGCAGTGTGACTCTAAAACTGACTCTGTTTGCTTTGCAACATGGATGTTTTATCTCCACAAAAGCCACAAGCCTGAAGAAGTTCTGCAATGTGGTGGAGCTGTTAATGCTAATGGTTAGCTTTTGCTAGTTGAGACGTTCTCTGTTGTTTAACAGACACTAAAACAACAACAATCTTCCCCGTCGTGAGTAAAGATGGGTGAGTTCATGAATGTTAAGTGACAGTGTGATGTAGATTGGTCAGACTATTCAAATCCTAGCATTTCGTTGTCTATTTTCTATCAGAAGCTAATGCAGCAGATGGGTGTAGAAGACAATTTTCATGTTCAGTCTGCATGAAAAACTCAGAGTGACCAATTATAATCAATAATGATCATCAAAAAATATTTTTTCAGTGTTCCACACCTTTAAGTTATTGTAGAGTTTGATCTTTTCCCACGTGCCAGCTCTGTGATGCCTCTGAGTGAACATCTACTGTATGTTTCCTTGATGCAGATCCTAGAAACATCATGGGCTAGAAGGACTGCACGGTCAGCATGGATTAAACAAAAATCTGAAGTGTGGGACTTGCACAGATATCCTAATTAGATCATGAAAACCTAACTTTTACATTCCTGTGCTCCGTAACATTGCACATGCCTTTAGTGAACACTTAGCACCATGCAACCTGAAGATGAAGTGACTCAGACCTTCTGTATTATTATTATTTTTACATTAAAAGAGTCAGAGAGAAAAAGCTTGGTGGAATTTAACTCATGTTACAAATTAGGCTGGCATTTGATTATCTCTGTAGATTAAAACTATACTGGCACTTGTGCTGTAGACGGCCCTTCTGATCTAACGGTGTGAAACTGAAAGTTCTTCACTTCCTGTTTGACCTTTTGACAGCTGTACAATCATTATGTAAGGGAGCTATTTCAGACCAAAAGGGAGTAAAACGGCCTTGACGTCCAAGAGTTATGAACTTTAGCGTGATAAAAACAACTCTCAGCAGAGCAAAATGAAATGATGCAGCGACTTTGGGTTTTAGATTAGTTTGGGCCTCGCTGTGTGAAAGATGCCTCTACAGTTTTCAATTAGGATTATCCTTCTTGTGGGAGGGCTGAATCTAAGCCGCCCTCTTGTTTAATTTTTCGAAAAAGAAAACAAAAACAATGAGTACAGATTTCGTCAGCCACTCAGTCCCATGTGAGCTGGTCTGCAACGGATGGAGAGAAGAATGTGGTTTGAAGTAAAGTTAAAGGGTGAGATTGTGTGATGATGGTGCATACCACCGTGGGCGGTATGGTGTACAGTGGTGTGTCTCGGTCTGGGTGTGGCTGCAGCCATCACTCGCCCTACTCCTCAGCAGTGTGAGACAGCTGCTTCTCGTACAGGCTGAGGACATGATGCACAAACTGGTACTGCTCACATGTCTGAATCATCCCACCTCTGATAAACACACACAGAAGACAAAAGGTTAAGGAATTTTAAAAATGTCTCTATATTCTCTGTGCACGACTGCAGACATTTGGTTTTCTCAGTTTACAGGAACATATTACTCAGAACTCACCGTTTGCACTTTTTTGTGCTGCCATGTGGGTTTCTACTACCTTTATAAACACTCATACAAAAATAAAACATCCATCTGTTTTCCATCAGTGTTGGTTCTAGGAGTTATGTGCCTAAAACAAGACATTCAAAAAGTCCCCGTTTGTGACATCACAAATTAGAATAGAGCCCCCTCTCATGTTCAAGATAGTTCCTGCTGAGGGAGCATTTATGATCAACTGTTCAAAAATTCTATGTCACGGTTTTAATATAATTGTCCATTGAGTAAAGGACCAAAATTTTGTTGTGCTCTATAGTAGGAATGAATGCCTTGTAAGTCATACTCTGGGGTAAAAAAAAAGTTCTGGAGCGCCTGTTTCAGCATGGATAATTCAGCCAAAGGAGAAGATAGCTTCAGACAGCAGGATTTGGAGATTTATTTTCTGATATTTGGACATCTCACCTCTGATTGGCTAACAGCAACACAACTCTTCTACTGACTCAATTTCCTTTGCAACAAAGTTTTATCTCCACAAATAACACAAGCATGAAGGAGTTCTGCAGTGTTGTGGAGTTGCTAATGCTATTGGTTAGCTTCTACCAGCCAAGACGGCGCTCTCTTCTGTTTCCTGGACGCTAAACCAACAACAGTCTTCCCCGTTGCGAGTCAAGATGGTTGAGTCCATGAATGTTAAGTGACAGTGTGACGTAGATCTGTCAGACTTTTCAAATCCTAGTGTTTCACTGTCCATTTTCTCTCAGAAGCTAATGCAGGAATGAGTAAAAATGTTTTCTGAAATAACTCGTACAAAGCAGAAGTCATAACGTTTATACTTTTTAAGTAAGTGTGACTTATACCTCTTTAAAAGCTGCTTTTCATGCAGTTTTGTGTGAAATCATGAAGGCAATTAATAAACGGGCTCTCCTGTGACTTCATGAAATGAGTCAAAACCAAATTAGACCAGAACTTGATCAAAATAAACCAATGATAAAGTGTATTTTTATAGCACTGACTTCTGTGTCTGTTTTGGTTCAATAACAATAAAAAGAAAACTGTTTGGCAGTTTTAAAAAGACTAATTGTAGAACTTTAAACAAAGCGGATGACTCACTTTCTCTTCTAATTTGGAAACAAATCAGATCCCGTCAGCTTGGCTCTAAATGCAGTGGTGCCCCAAGGGGTGAAAAATGCTGCCCCCCCCCCCCCACCCTCATGTTAATAAATCATATTAATATTCACTCAAACCATAAATGCATCTCATTTAATGAAGACATAAATATAAAAATCATATAGCAAATTATACAGTTAGAGTACAGAAATAATCCAAATTTAAAAAAAAGAGTTTGTTTCTGCTGTGCACCATTAACAAAAGATTTTATATCACCATAGTTTTTTGTGAAGGCAACAGGTGAATTAAATAATAAAAACAAATTCTAAAATTAAATTTGAAATAACATTTCAAATAACTGAAATGTAATTTTTGACATTCTAACTCAAATTTAAGTTACATTTGGATACATATTGTTTTTTAATAAAAAAGAATAAAGAAGCAACGCAATGTATCACCCCATGCTAAACTCTCCCAGAGTTACCACGAGGATCAATTTGGTGTGCCACCCCAAAATTTTCTTTGGCCCCATCTGGCCACCCTTATCAAAAATTTCTGGGGGCGCCCCTGGCTGCATGAAAGGAAAGTTTGTCTCACCTGTCCAGACGGAGCTGACAGGTGGTTCTCAGGATGTCAGCCACACCCTCAGTCCTCAGCTGCTTACACAGGATTGAGGTGGCAATGAAACAGCCAGTTCGACCAATACCAGCACTGTGAGGGGCAAAAAAACAAAAATACATTATTATGTTTAATTAAATATGAGCACTTTGTTTGCTCCTTTTGTTACAAACATTTTTAATCTCTGTACCTGCAGTGAACTATTATCGGTCCACTAGAGGGCAGAGCTTCGTCTCGGGCTCGCTCCACTTCCTGCACCAGCTCCAGCAGGGGTGGAGCCTTGTCTGGAGTCTTCTGATCTGGCCAGGAGGTGTACCAGTAATGCTTTAGAGTCCGCTTCTCCTCCTCACACTGATAACACAAACATGCACATAAAACATGAAATTTTCATCAATCTGTTGCGGTGCACTGTCAATCTGTCAGCCTCCATCATCTCCTGAGTATTTGCCACATGTGTGGCACTAATTAGAAATGAAGCACATCAACAAAATAACCAGAGATAAACAAACCAAGTGCTTTTAACTCACTGCACATTTATGTAACGATCCCTCTGAGCTTATTAAATCAGACGCAGGCTGCATTAGCTGCCAAAGCCACCCTGGCCCCCAAAATAAATACAAATCATCACGAGCCACTCAAACGGCACAGATATGTTCCACGCCAGAATGTTAATCATCAAAGAGATATTTCTCTTGTGAGTCAATTCGGTGGTTTAGATTTTTGACTGTACAGAAGTCTGATTGAATCACGGTGAAATGCAGAAAACAGAACTCGATTTGGTCGTTGAGGAGGGAATTTATGGGTGTACACATTTTAAAACACGTCCAGCTGTCAACAGAAACAGGAAAAGGCAGCTTATGTGATGTCTTTAATTATGAGACTCCCTATAGTTGACTCTTGTTTTGTGTGTTTTATTTTTTTAATTGTTTAGATATAGCTCATGAACAAATATTTTAGGAACTCAAAACCCTCAAATTTAGATCTCACTTTCGGCAGATGTTTTACTAAAGTGAAATAAAAATGAAAAGTAATCAAAGAGGCAATTCGATCTGATTAAACTTTGATTCAAGCGTATTGTAATATTGATCATTTCTATTCCAAATAAATTTCACACTTAAATAACTTAGATTTAGTTAAAGGTGCGGAATTTTGTTTAATCAATACATTTGCAGTCTAGTAGGAAGGAATGACTTGTAGGTCGTTCTCGCGGGGGGGGGGCGGACGACTGATGTGCCATTTCCAGGAACTAGAATCACAGCTGAGCTTCAGATGGCAGGATTTGGAGTCTTATTTCCTAATATTTGGACAACCTTCCTCTGATTTGATAACAGCAATGTGACTTTACCACTGATTCTGTGCGTTTTACAACGTTGATGTTTTATCTCCACAAATAACACAAGCCTGGAGGAGTTCTGCTGTGTGGTGGAGTTCCTAATGCTAACAGTTAGCTTCTACTAGCCGAGACTGTTTCCTGTGCGCCAAAATGAACAACCTTCCCCGTCGTGAGTCCAGATGGGTGAGTCCTTGAACTTTAAGTGCCAGTGTGATGTAGATCTGTCAGGCTTTTCTAATCCTTCACCATCTATTTTCTACCAGAAACTAATGCAGGAAATAGGTGAGACTATTTTCATGTTTAGCCTGCATGAAAAACTCAGAGTGAAGTCAGAAATAATCATTAAAAACTTTTTTTTTCAGTATAAAATAAATTCCAGATATTGAGACGACTTCTATTCCAAAGAAAATGAACACCTAACTTAGATTTACTTCAAAAGATTTTTGAGTAGTTTATGAGCAGATTCTTCTTTTTTTTATTGGTGACTTACTGTCAGAGTAAACACCCTCAAACTGTAGTCATCTTCTTCGGTTACCGAAACGACGGTAATCTCTATTCCCTCATGGGTCACAGTGTCCTCGGGCCAGTACTCTGCACATTTCTACTCAAACACACACACGAGAGATAACAATGGACCTCTCAGGTTAAACAAACAAACAACAACAAAAAAAAAAAGCAAAAAACAACTGTTCTAATTTGTTCAAATTTAGAAACGATCATCCGCATCCTTCACATCATCACAATGACCTCATTCTTCTCCTCCAGGTTGGTGATCATCACTATAATCGGGCTCTTCTCCTGCCACACCATCCTCCAGAAGTCCCCTACGGTGTTGACAGTTGGTCCTTGCGTGGCAATGTATGCGTTCTCCTCGTCCCCATAGCCCTGCAAACAAATGTGGAATAAATAAATAAATAAATACGCACACAGTCCTCGACTGGACACATTTGACCAGAAAAACCTCTGAGTTGGAACATAATCACAAACATTTCCACCTACTTTAAGATAATTAGCGTTGATGTAGGTGGAGAGAAAATCGTCTTCATCCTGCGACTTCAAGATGACTCTGCTGTGCGTGTCTGTAGGTGGACGGTGGGGCAAAAACACAAATGAGAACCGCTCTTTCATGATCGATTCAAATCATGCAAACATATATATATATATATATATGTGAACACGGTCTGTCTGTTATGTCCAGAGTCTTGTTATGCAGCTGGACTCACTGGGTAAAATGGTTTTGTAGCGGTTCTTTCTCACCAGGCCCGGGTAGTTGTACTCCTTTGGGTCCACAAAGTTCATGGGAGTTTCCTGGCAATTGAAAAATGGACAATTGGTGCTAGAAAACCCAGTTCTGACAGTAACATCCTGATGCCAAAGAGAAAGATAATATTTAAAGACATGAAGTCACGCTGTTTTCTAATTGTTCTTGATTTGAAGGCATCTGACTGTGCATGATCTTGAGTGCATATTTTTTTCTGCCTAGCAGACGCTGGACTCCTCTGGGTTTTCATATGCAAAAATACTCATAGTCCTGCATCCTTCGCCCACTGACAAGCGGTGTAAAAGCTTACGGGTGTGTTATGAGCTCTGCTGGGTGTTTGTGTGTGTGTGGGTGTGTGTGTGCATTAGTGCTGTCATCTATGTATGTCTGTGTGAGTGTACGTGTTTTCCGGTGCGTCTCTGTTCATCTACTGCGTGGGTGGCTGAGCGACTGCACTCACATAAAACTCAGCCTGCAGGTTTTGGTCATCCATGGCCCTTGTGTGTAGCATGGCAGGGGTCAGGACGTGTGTTCCCTGTCGGAGGTACTCCTGGGCTGATTGATCTCTGGGAGACAGCTGGGCTCCGTAGCCATAGGGCTCCGTGCAGCCTGGTGTGCACATGTCCAACGTCAGAGACACGTTGGAGCCTCTCCTGTGTGATCAAGTCAAGATTAGTTTGCAAAGATGAGAGGTCTGTAAAATACATGTGCTTGAACGAGGCACATGTTGTCCTGCTGCTGCATACAAAAACAGTACAAAAAATGTCTTTTTCACTTGACAAAGTAAATTTTACTACAAAATGTGCTGCTCCTGAGCAAAATGCCATTTTCTAACCTCTCCTGAAGCCCCACTGGTGTGACAGTCAGAGTGGAAGCATCCGCTTCCATTTTGGTGTCCGTGCCCAGATCGAAGACAGGAGTCTGAGGGATAGGATCCAGATCTAGCAGATCCTCTTGAGCATCCGTCCACTCTGAGAGGGTGAAGGAGGGCTGGCGGCTCACAGACTGACGCCGGTCACCGATGTCCCTTGTTATGGATTCTGACGACCATAAATCAGTACCATAGTGCCACTTACACACTATGTTGATGACCTGAGGATAAACGATCCATGAAGCTTCATTCAAGTCCATTAAAATGTGGTCAAGAAATCTGAAAATTCACTCGTTTGAGACTCTTACCATGACAGCACAGATGGTCACTCCGATTCCTGCAGTGCCACGAACGATCCAGTTGTGCTGGCTGGTGTTTTCCAACTCTTTCATCAGCAGCTTGGACTAACCGTTGCAGGAAGAAGGGACAAAAAGTTAGATGTCAAATGTTTTGTTTACGTCCTAAAGTTCCCGCTGCCCTGGAGATCACATCCAGTACTGGCACTTACATCCGTTCCAAAAATCGTCTGGCACGGTAGAACGAAGCTCAGGTAGAAGTCGATGACCTGCAGGGCTTTGTAGATGGAAGAGAGTGGTCCGTTTCCTTCCAGCACAAAGAACACCCAGTACCCCTGAGAAGATGGAGAGATGCCGGTTAGGTTGTCACAGCTCAGGCCGCTCATGCACCTGTTAGTCAGGCCGCTGCTCTTCACTAAACCAAGCGGAGAAAAAAAAAACAGATGACCTCTTATGCAGGCACTGATAATGGGTAAATAGATCAAGCATGGCCGCCTTTAATAAGCTTTTCTTTTTATTACTTATGGTAATTTTGCACCTGCTCCCTTTTCTCTGGTATGAATCAAACATGAAGTCATTGAGGATACAAGAGAAAATGAAAGACAGAAGAGTCCAATTCTGGAGAATTCAAACTTTTGAAAGACTAACGAGTAATTGATTTTACAATTTAACTTCAAGTTTGTGACGTAAAAAAATGCTGACATTTTACAATAAGGATCCCTTCATTAAAGTTACTTAGTGCATTATTAAGCATTAATAACCTATTAAACAAAGTAATAACAACTGCTTAACTGTATTTTGTAAGGCATAACTAAGCTGACACCCCCATTTGCCATTTGTCTTAACCTTAAGGACAGTTAATGGTTAATAATGGTAACATCAGCAAAGGGACCCTTTGGTTATTACTGCTTTATAATGCACTTAGTAACATTAATAAAGGGACCCTTATTGTAAAGTGTTACCAAAGGTTCTTACTCTTACCGTGACTTGGGAGGCAATAAACAGAACAGCCCAGCAGTAAATCTCAATCACAAGTGTAAACAACTTGTGACCAAGCACCTCCTCTCCCTGCTGGTTCGGACTTCCTGCTGGGCCATCCTGACAGCCGGGGAGCCCATCCTTTTTAGGGGCTCCATCGCCTAATTTTTCATTTTTTGTGGGTTCATCCAGCCAGACGGGGTCCTCATCAGGCCTCAGGAAGATGGAGTCTTCAGTGTGAGAACGGGTGGAGCTACTCAGCCGACGGGTCATGATCCCCCTGGTAAAAAATAATAATTATTCCATCTATTGCAGCTCATCCAAGACTATTAATATAACTTTTAAAGATAAAAATGCAAGAAAACACACAAATAGACTTAAAAAGGGACCCAAGTGTTTATTTAAATAAATATTATTAGCTATCTGGAAATGTGGTGGATAGGATAGTTAGTGTGGATTTGTTTAGTGGTTTTAGAGGCCTGCATGGTCACCTTGTAGAAATTCAGTGCGAGCAATGGACTAACAAGGTGCACATGTGTAGGGTTCTGCTTATACGGTCAACAAAGTGTGTACATTTGAAACACACCCACCCTCCCTCCATGAGTGTAGCTTCATTAGCATGTTGTTTGCATTTGTTATGTTGTGTAAATGTGTGTGATTGTGTGTTTCTAAATGAGCGTGTGCATGACAGAAAGGGCTGCATTTATTCCATGGGCCTATTCAGATGTACAGCTAAGCGGCTTGGAGTGGCTCTCATCTCTGGATCCTCTTGTCTCCCTTAGATTGGACTCCATTGTACAAATCTGTGTGTGTGTGTGTGTGTGTGTGTGTGTGTGTGTGTGTGTGTGTGTGTGTGTGTGTGTGTGTGTGTGTGTGTGTGTGTGTGTGTGTGTGTGTGTGTGTGCTAAAGAGAGAGAAATGCTCCATTGTAGAGAGATGAGTCAGGGGTAGCGTGTTTACAGCCCTGTCCGTCACCTTGGCAACAGAGTGGCTCTCATCCCTCTCATCCGTCCCAAGCATTATCATCCACTGACATGACACACACACACACACACACACACACACACACACACACACACACACACACACACACACACACACACACACACACACACACACACACACACACACACACACACACACAGTGTATTCAGAGACCTTTTTTCCTGCCCTCCACTTCGGTCCGTCCATCATTAATAAAGGTGTTTTGCACATTTGGCTGATTTGTGTGGAAGTGTGAAAACGGGGGCTTCTGTTCACCGCTCTCTCTGAATGTGTTGCTTACGACTAAAATTATCATGCATGAATTTGGAGGAAGTTTTTCATCAATGGCTAATCAGCCAACAATGAACACGACAAAAAAATTATAATGTCCCCATCTGGAAGACCAGTCATGTGACTTACCTACAAGAGACAGCAGGGAACTGGTGAAGGAGTCAGATCACATGATCAGTTTGAATCCTGTATCCTTTGGCAACTGGTTGTTGTCAGCCATCGTGAGGCAAAGTTAGTTCTGAAGGACATAAGACGAACCAAATGTTTCATCTCTTTGACGTCTTTTTTACATTAAAAAAAACAGAGAAGAAGCAGAATGGAATTAAAACAAACTGAGACCAAATCAACTGGTCACACTGAGACAGGGTTAGTAATCCAGTCTCCTTCAGATATGGATCAAAGTAGCACCCGTGTCAGCTCCCAGCTGTGCCTTCTTGTGCGGAGGATGGAGAAGTGAGGCGACACAGTAAACTGTCAATATTTCTTCTCCTTCTCTTGCTCTTTCCTTCCCTCAGAGGCAGAGATGATTCAAGCCAGACTACGCCGACACCCTCAGAAACACATTCAGATTGCTCCAGTCGCATCAGTATGCATGAAGTCAAGCCTTCCCTGTGCCCTTCTCCCACCTCCTCCTCTTCTGTACCACTGGACCCTGTTGAACGAATGGGGTGAGCTCAGCGGAATATGAGACCACACCAGTGGCCAAAGACCTGTGTGTGTGTGTGTGTGTGTGTGTAGGTATTGAACAGAAGGGAGCTGTTTTGAGTCCTTTTCTTCCTCTCTTTACTTGCTGTGTGGTGGATTTGAAGTGATGACGCTAGTTAGCACTGCTCGTAGCCATGGCAATGTGCATACATGCAATGTATATAAAGTCACACATGCACACCCACAGCCATGGATTTGTTGGATTCCATTTTTAAACAATAGGTGAACATGGAGATGAGTGGAAGGATGGATAAACGGGAGGACAGGAACATGTTTTTTTTCGCATGAAGGTTGTCTGGCAGTGACGCAGTGAGGTTGGCGTTTTGGTAACTGTGGCAACCAATATTCTGCGTTGCACACATGTACACACATACATGTACACACTCTGGCGAGCACACGGCATGAAAAATGAAAAGCACAAACATACATTTACATTAAAGGAGCAACGACAATATCCACGTTTGTCTCTCTGAAATATTTACTGAAAAAAAAATCCCTGCGTCTCTTTGCTTTTGTTCCTTGGGGTAAATAAATGATTTTATTTCACAGACTTTATTTGGTGGTGTGTCTTGAGCTTTAACCAGACAGGAAGTTTTTTATTTTTCTGCAACACCGAGGTAATTGTAGACCTTATTTAAAATAAATAAATAAATAAAATCCATGCTTTATTTCTCCTCACGCCACATCAAAACATTTCCAACAATATATTAATAGAATAATATTAAACAGTTTTAGATTGTAGAATGAAATATTTAAAAAATGTAAGCTTTTTTTATGATCGATTAAATTAAATCCATTGTAATGTTCAGAAGCAGAACCAAATTTGACTAAAGCAGTAAATACATTCAGTTAAGTGTTTTTGTGTCTAATTTAAATACATTTTTGCCCAAATCTTGTTTTATTTATTACTTTTTTCCACATCAAGGGGGGAAAAATAAAAGGTTTAACTTTTGTCTTTTTTATTCTTTTGGGGCAAAAGGTACAGGGCCGGCCCAAGCATTTGTGGGGCCATAAGCAGGTTTTCCTTTGGGGCCCCCCATAGAGCTCCGGGAGTTGACGTCACTTCTCCCGGCATGCAACAGTTCAAATTGAAACGACGCCATATTGGCAGGAAGAAGCCCGCAGCTTACAATCTTCTGTTTTCAAAATTTGTTTTTAAAAATTTGGAGATTAATAAAGAATCTTTGAATTGAAAACATTTAAATCATGCAATCACTACAACATGAAATGACACTACAGAAAATAATCTAATAATTGTTTTTATGTTGGTAATATCATTTAGTTTGTATTATTCAAAGGTATTCATGCATTTAATTTCTCACGCTTTCTTGGTGCTCTTGGGCACCCCTTGGTGGGATAGAGGCCTCAAGCAGTTGCTTAAAGCCGGGCGTACACTGTGCGACTTTTTCACTTTTTTGAGCCGATTTTCCACTCGTGCGAGAATCCACGAGATCAGGGCGAGTTTTGCACCGAGCGTCGTGTAGTGTACAGGGGGTTACGAGAGGCGATTAACACCACGTGACCAGCTGCCGATCAGCAATCGTGAGCTCGCACGGACTTCTGGCGTGTTTAATATTTTGCTCGTCCCTCGTAAGGGTATCGCACTGTTGAAGCGGCGCTGCGAGCAGCTGCGACCCAAAAAGTATCAGAACTGCTCACGGCGCATGCGCAATCCTGCATCAACGCCGCTCCCCGCTATTTCCCTAATAACACACGTTGTTCGTTTTAATTTCTACACGTTTTTTTTACTCACAAAGATTGTCAAGAAAGCGTGTTTGTCGTGTTCATGTCAAATCAAACTGATCACAAAACACAGATTTACTTTCTTCATTTCGTTTTCCTCATCCAACCCCCATAAATCCCTGTGTGTCCTCCTGCAGCACTCCCGAAGGACAACAGGCAAAACAAGACAAAAAAGCCTGACGTGTTGTGTAAAGACGGCTATTTTTAGCATATTTTTAGGGCCGACGTGTTGCTACCAGACGTACAGTGTGAGCAGTCAGGTCGCATCCGAGAACTGGGTCGTACAGTGTGAGTGCATGACTCGTGAGATCTGCCCTGCGAGGAAGTCGTACAGTTTGAGCTGAAGCTGAGTGCTGCGAGTGAAAAAGTCGCACAGTGTACGCCCGGCCTAACACGCACATGCCTTGGGCCGGCTCTGGGTTGATATAAAACATTAAGTAACATTTATTTATTTATTTATTTATTTATTTATTTATTTATTTATTTATTTATTTATTTATTTATACGTATGTATGTATGTATGTATGTTTCCACAGTTACGCTGATGATACACAGCTGTACATCTCTGTGCCTCCTGATGACACACGGCCAGTGGACACACTTTTTAATTGCTTTCTTGACATCAAATCCTGGATGGCGGAAAACCTTCTCCAGCTCAACCAGGACAAAACTGAAGTTTTAGTCATCGGTCCTGAGGCCCGGAGAGAGAAGCTTTTACCAAAATTACAATCACTGTCTCTTAATCCATCTTCACAAGTGAAGAACCTTGGTGCCATCTTTGAGTCTGAGCTGACTTTTATCCATCCCATTAAAAATATCACCAAAACAGGTTTTTATCATCTAAAGAACATCACCAGGGTCCGCCCCATTCTCTCTCGGGCCAATACGGAGACGCTGATGCATGCTTTTATCACCAGTAGGATAGACTACTGCAATGCCCTGCTTTCTGGTCTTCCTAAAAAGAGGATTACAGGTCTACAACAATTACAAAACTCAGCAGCACGTGTCCTGACGAAAACCAGGAGGTGGGAGCACATGACTCCAGTTTTAGAATCACTGAGTTGGCCCCCCCCCCCCCATATGTTTCAGGATCGATTTCAAAATACTTTTAACGTTTTTTAAGTGTCTTAATGGTCTTGGGCCTTCTTATCTTTCAGAACTGCTTTTACCGTATGAACCCACGCGGTCTCTGTGCTCCTCTGGCAGCGTCTCCTTGTCATCCCTAAAGTCAGGACTCATATTCACGGCAAGGCGTCCTTCCAGCACTACGGTCCTTGCCTCTGGAACGAGCTGCCAGGGGACCTCAGGGCTGCTGAGAACGTTCATGCTTTTAGAAACAGGCTCAAGACCCATCTTTTTAGCTTAGCTTTTAACTGAATACTCTCACTTTCTAAATAAATTAATTACTTCGTTTATTTATTTATTTTATCTATTTATTTTATTTATTTAATGTATTCTTTCTTTATATGTGCTTTTTGAACAGTTTTTTACCATGATTTATGATCAACATTATTTTAATATCTATATAACTTTTTATATTACAATTCGCATTTTAGCTCTTTGGATTTTATATTTTAACCCTAATTTAACCTTTTTCCAGAGCTTCCTCTGTGGGAGCCTTCTGCCCCGGCGGCGGTGGTCGGCTGTGGTGGCCTGGGTGCTTTCCAGGTGTGCCTAGGTGGAGGTGGGGGTCTCTGCCCTCCCTGCCCTGGGCGCCCTGTGTCAGTGCCTCGGCTGCTGCTGCGGATCTGCTGTTGCCGGGGCGGATGGCTCCCCTGATGGTGTTTCCTTATCCTTATCTTAGCTGGTCTGGCTCATCTGATCTCAGTCAATTGTGTTTTTTTTTACCATGGGGAAGGGGGCATGTATGTATGTGTGCGTGCCCGTGTGTGTGTGTGTGTGTGTGTGTGCGCGTGTGTGTGTGTGTGTGTGTGTGCGTGTGTGCGTGTGTGTGTGTGTGTGCGTGCGTGCGTGCGTGCGTGTGTGTGTGTGTGTGTGTATGTGCGTGTGCCGGAGGATGAGTGTTGTGAAGGGGTTTTTATTGTCAGCCTGTTTTTAAAATTCTGGGGATGGGAGGGAATGTGGGTATGCGGGTCCTTTTTAATTTGTTAAGCACTTTGAGTTGCATGTATTGTAGGATAAAATGCTTTATAAATAAAAGTTGATTGATTGATTGAAGTTGATGTATTTATTTACTTATTTACTTATTTATTTATTTATTTATTTATTTATTTATTTCAAATTTAGTATTTTTGTTTGGTCTGTGAATGCTTCATATGGAATTAAAACAAGATTCGGATTAACTGAAAACATATTGATCTTCAAAAAAATCTAAAAATAATGGGAATGTGCTGTCCAAGAGTGCTCGTAATGTTTATAAATGGTTTGAAGTAAGTGTCAACACCTGGAATAGTCATGTAAAAAGATTATGGCACTGTTGAAAGTCAAATAAAAGCGTTGAAGAAGACAAGTCATCTGAATATCACAATTTAGAGAATTGATTTGTCTGATAATCTAATTAAGTAACAAACAAGCCAAACCTGGCATTCAGACCGATCCCTTCTAGAGGTCTCCTGTCCTTGGGTTCTCATAAACAGCGTCCTCTCAGGTTTCTGCTAGAATGATGATCTGCATCCATTCATGAGTCTAAACAGAGTTCTACAAACTGTGGCTTCTGTTCCAGGAGCACTGCAGAACAAGCCCTGACCAAGCGGAGTAAACCTCTTTGCTGCAATTAGGAAGAAGTGGATTTAATGTGGCGACAGCTGGCATCAGCTTTAATGGAGATTTCAGATTCACTGGAATTATGTCTGCAGTTTTTGTTTCTATTTTTTAATGTTTGATTTGTCCAACGCACTCTCTGACGTCACCGACAAATCTCAGTGAAATCACAGGGCTGTTTGCTTTTTCTCCATGAATAAGTGTGCAAAGGTCCTAACGCTGAGAAACAACAGGAAGCTCTTTATTGAAAGTGATGATAGGATGGAAACGTGAGACCTGCCTCATCATCCTGTACACACACACACACACACACACACACACACACGCATGCACATGCACGCGCGTGCACACACACACACACACAGAGTTAAAATTCTAATATTAATACACAACTAACGACCAAAACATGAAACGCCCCCAAAAGCCTGCAGCTTTCTGTATCAAAGAGTTTAGAAATAGGCCTGTTCTAGTGTTTACATCAGACTCCAGAGCATAAATCGCATCAATACACACACAACGGTGCGAATAATTAAAATGCACTGCGTGGTGAGCTGATTTCAGTCTTGACAGTCTGGACACCTTTAAATATCAGCAGTATTTATTTAAAGCTGCTTTTTCTTAAATCTTTTATGGTTTTTTTTTTCATCTGTAAAACTGACTTTTTAATTACCTTTCATTTGTTTTATGATATTTTAGTAGTTTTATTTAAATCTCTAGTTTAAATTACCTTTATTTTATGATATTTTGTTTTGTTTTCATGATCGTCTCATGACTTAATGATTTGTCTTGTTGTTCTTTGTGATTTTTCTTCCTGAGATGAGTGCTACATGAATAAGCTGCTTATTTACTCATTTGCATGCTGCTGGAGATAAATCTGAATTCCCTTGGACATAAAAAATCCAAACAGATTATGTTACACAGTTGCGGTGCATCATAGTTCCAGTGCAGGAATGGCATTCTCTGGCAGTCATTCATGCTAAGACAAAACACCATTCATCTCACGTACACGGCTACGGTGAGCTAGAGCGACCACACAGTGCGGAGCTGGATGGATTAGTAATGAATCACCCAGGGAGGTGGACTGTTGCACGTCTCTATATGGTAATTCCCACATTGTCACACAGACATTATTCAACATAGTGGGGGGAAATAATGATCAAGCTTTAGGCTGCATAAGAAAAATTGATTATTAAAAAAATACAGCAGCATCAAAGAGTCAACCTGTTGGAAAATGATTCATCAGAGGATGGACTGAGACATCCAGAAGCTATATCACATACCTTCTTACATCCGGGAGGGTAAAACCATAGGGGCTTTGGTGAGGAATTGGTATTCACCTCGTGTCGCACAACCACAGAAGGGGAAAGACAAGAGAGACAGGGGGGGGGGGGGGGGGGGGGGGGGGGGGGTGGGGGGGGGGGTGGGGGGGGGGGGGGGGGGGGGGATGGAACAGCCATAGCCTGGTTAGGATAAGTCTTCTTACCTGGCTGAGCCTGTCTTCACATTGCCATCTGCTCCTCTGCTCCCTGTGAGCCAACGATCACTGTCTGAGGGACGACGGAGTGTGTTTGCATGT